GTACAGGAATCCTACCTCAATCAGTGTAGTAGATACCAACAACTTCTGTAGGCTCTACATGACAAGTACAGGAATCCTACCTCAATCAGTGTAGTAGATACTGACAACTTCTGTAGGTTCTACATGACAAGTACATGAATCCTACCTGAATCAGTGTAGTAGATACTGACAACATTTTACTCAACTTTTTTTTGTATCGTTTACCAAAATGCCTACCAGGGGTCCTGTCTTTCAAACTTATTACCTTCTACTTATTTTGAAAGGAAATAACTGATTAATTATATGCCACTCAACCAATGTTATAACAAATGTTTTTAATACTTTTTGGGTAATTTTCTTAAATTTTTAAGGTGTATTGTTCAGTGAAAATCATCAGATTGACTTTAAAGAAACATATTTTTCACACTAGAATTTAGTGAGTAATATTTTCAACAGTGTGTTAAACTAATAGAATTTCTAGATGAAATCATTTACAAGATGCTAACAACAGATGGTTAAAGCTATTTAGTTTTCCAAACCACAATATCATTGTTGTTTTACACTGTTTGAAATTTTGTAAATGGTGTTTATTATACTTTGGACACAAATAATAATTTCAATAAATCTTAAACCTTACGAACTAATCAATGACAATATCTACTTCTTTAGACTCTGCTCCTTCTTTCTGTTTGGATACACTATTTATGAAATTAAAAAAGTCTTCTTCTGCTTGTTTGATTAAATCAGTTTCTTGAGTTTCTTCCAATTTCACATCTTCATGTTCCACTGTAACAGAATTTTTCATTTTCTCCTTAAGCCAAAGCTCTCGGTTTCTTGCCTCTATTACCTTTTCACGACGAGATTCTCTGTCTAATAACTGTGAAATGGAAAAGCATGCCTTGAAAATATACTTTCTCAAGTTTTATTTTAATAAGTAGCGAAAGCTTCACAACAGATGCTACAATTAAGATGTTTATGATTTATCTAATTATGCAATAGGAACTCATTGTGAACTCTACCTTAGACACAGCTAATTTTATGGTTTTACGACAGAATGACTGTACTGGGAACTTTCTCTTGAGTGTACATGATGTCCTGTCTTTACCCAATTAAACTTTGTCTGTCGTGTGATACCGGTGGTGCACACTGTGATTTAAATAATAATAATGAAATGATCATAATGTTTAATATTTTTTCTTTTTTTCAGCCCAATCTTGCCATTTTCTTTAGAAGAATTATGAATATTTCAAAATTTTATGGTCATAAAAAAGGGACATCAGAGATAAAATAATCCCTACTGTGGATGATAACAGTTCCATCCTTATTATATCACAGTCATCATAACAGTTTTCTTATTAAGTCTCAATTAGTGTTTTTTTTTCCTTCAATTACTCACAATTAAAAAATTTAATGCCGATCTCTAGATGTAATTTTAAAATAAAAAAGTGATTTAATTATGTAAATTTGTTTTATTTCAGTTGGTCAGTAGTTGGTCCTTTCAACGTGGCTCCACCAGTGTCGTGAACATAGAATTTAAGGGCAGGGATTGTTTTCTGCTATAAATTTCACTACAAGCTTATTTATCTCATGTTTATTTTATGGACACTTACATTAGCTAGTTTACTCTTCTTTAGCACATCAAACACTTGTTTTGAAAAATGAGCATAACTCAAAAATGCACAATATCATCAAACAGGTTCCTGGTTTTTAACGCGTGTACTATAATTAATTGTCAGATTATTTTTGTGAAAACAACACCAGGTGAAATATTTTATCATCAAATTGTTCTAGAACATAACTTGAAATGAGATTTTGTTCAAGTTATAATTCAAAGTTTACACATTCAGGTTTCATTTAGTATTGTTCAAACTGCTACCAGTTTTTCCTGTTTCCTTTAAACTCTAGATAATAACAATAAAAAAACTACTAAACTCAACGTCAAACATATGTAATTTTCAAACTCTCACTTATTTCCTTAAATATCTTGATGTTTTCTATTAATTACAACTACAATTTCTTTTAACTTTGAACTGTTAATTCTCTCTAAAAGCGACAAACCTGAGTAAGATTTTTCAATTACAGAAAAATCTGGAAAGTTTCTATTTTACTTCTACTTTTGTCACCATAAAACTTCCTTACATTTGACAATAAGTCTCATTCTGTGACTAACTTTAACCAGTGGTTTCATCTAACAATAAGTCTCATTCTGTGACTAACTTTAACCGGTAGTTTTATCTAACAATAAGTCTCATTCTGTGACTAACTTTAACCGGTGGTTTTATCTGACAATAAGTCTCATTCTGTGACTAACTTTAACCGGTGGTTTTACCTAACAATAAGTCTCATTCTGTGACTAACTTTAACCGGTGGTTTTATCTGACAATAAGT